TGAAGAGGGGGAATTGGGGATCAAAATCATGTGATGGATGAAAACGTGTTTGGCACAATACAACTTTAATTATTGGAACGCGATCTTGTTATCCCCTGCGTATTAAATAACGTCACTTGTGTCAAGAGTTGACATTTACAGTGAAATGTATGATTTTAAGTTGATATTTCTAGCCGAGTGATCGTTATTGTAACTATAATAAACTTGAGTGATCACTATAATAAAAAGTGACCATTTCTAAATTTATTACGAACTCGAATGGTCGTTGCTGAAATTATCTCTTTAGCAAAATGATACATTATTGGGCCAACCTAGGAGTCCTTTTTGGCAGTAGATGCTGCTTCCTATAAGGAAACAATGTTGACATTTCATGCTTATCCTTAAAATCCATTAGGGGAATCCTATGAAAAAATTTATATGATTTTTTTATATTCATGTATCTATCAAAATACACCTTAATTTTGGCATTTTTGCTTGTTTAATTCAAATTGAAGATATTCTGACGAAGTAAAAAGTAAATCCTTAACTTCTGTAAATTGTTTGGTTCATCAGCTCTGATCCCCAGAAACTTTCTTTACATTGATGTAGCACTTACGTTAGCTTAACCGATTCTCCTTAGCACTTAACAAACTGGAAAAAAAGTAAGTTAAGTTATTCCTTGTGTTTACTTTTTTCTTCTCTCATTTTTTTATTTTTTATTTTTCAAGAAATCATATCTTACTTATAAGAATAGCAACTTTGATTAAGGCCAAATATACATCAATTTGTCGATGCTTACCACGAACAATATCCATGTTCAAAAGGTATGATATTGAATCCAGTGAGATTTCAAGAATTTTTGTATGCACTCTGTAACATGAAGTTGGAATTGCTAGTAGTCAAGAATCGAAACTTACACTTGATCACTAGTTAAGAGAGCTCACCAAGATCTCTCCTCCTCCAATTACTTTTCACTCTTGAGGGTTCAGAACCCGATAAAGAGTACATCCTTTTAGTTTTCAGAGGTCGAATTTCCTCGTCTCGCATCAATTCCATTACACACCCGTCCATGACTAAAAAAAAAAAGAAAAAAGAAAAAAAAAACTTGATGGCCAAAAGTAGGCGATTGACACTATAGATTAGCCTATCCAAAATTGAAATGATTGACATTACTTTTATTTTTCTATCGAGTTATTATGTCGTATTACATTTAACCTTCACACAAATTAGATAAACCTCAATTATTGCCCCCTGGGGCATAATCCAATGGTGTAAAGGATAAGAGTGAGGTTATTTCACACCTTGCTGGTAGCCGCAGTATAGGGGTTCGATTCTTAAAACATGAAATTGAACTGCTTGTAGGCGCACTGTACAGGCAGCTCGTGTTCCCTAACCTGTTGGGGCACATTCCTCGATTTACCTCCCTCACAAAGTTATAGGAACGGAGCGATGAGAGCCCTCGAGATTAGGGTTCAATCCTTATTTTTATTATTTTTTTTATTTTTAAGATAAACCTCAATTATTTCAAAGTGTCCTTGTCATCAAGTGGTGTTGTGTGGACCAATAATTGAGTGTACCAAACCAGCCTTAAAGTCATAGAAACCCCACATAAGATTCTCATTCATCACACTCAATTATGAATTGTTTTGTCCTTTTATTTCCATTAAAGATCGAAGAGGGACTTCTGGTAGCGAGAAGAGATTTCATTCCAGTCGTGCTAGGCTTATAGATACAGGGAGTTCTCAGGCCACAAACATACATGGAGCCCACGTATTTTATTTTATATTTAATGCATGTAGCGCCCCTGCATAGTAAGGGGCCCTCTGAATAATTGCCTATGCGCAAGGCATTATTCATTTCATTCTGGTTTGGTGGGACAGAGAAATTAGAAAAAGAATAATTTCAGGCCAGAAAAATGATTTTTGCTTTTAAATTAAAAAATAAAAATAAAAAAATCTCACCTTTAGGTTCATGAAAATTTCAGAAACACTCCTCAGTGTCTGTCGGCCTCTTAGCATACATTTCTCATATTCCTTTTTATATGATTATTTTTGCTTTCTCTCTTGTTTCTCTTTCTTAATTTTGATTTAGACAAAAATAAATTATTTTAATCCTAAAAAGTTTAATTTTTTTTTTATCTTTCTGTATAAATTATTTTATCTTAATCTTATTTTTGTAAATATTGATTTTTTATTTAGTGGACCATAAAAATTGATCAGATATATAATAAAAAAATGAACTAAAAAGAAACTAAGATTTAAAACGTTTGATGCAAACATTTATGCAATTTTAATATTAAGATAATATTACTCCAATTTTCTAAACTTTAGTATAGTATAGATGAAAAGAGTATTAGAAAAATATAAATATTAGAGAAAAAGCTACTAGATCGAGAAATATGAAACTTTTTGTTAATTTTCAACTAGCTTTATTAAATTACTCCAAAACATATATTTATGTTATTTTGTTAATTAATTGACATTTGTTTTTTTAAAATCATATTTAATAATTTTATTTTTATAATAATATCTATAATGGTAGTAAAATTTTCAATACCTGTATTAAATTGTTCTAAAACATTCGTTCATTTTAAATTTTTAATTATTTTTCAATCATATTTGGGGGAAAAAAGTCTTATTTATAATTTTATATACTTCATAGTAAGATTTTTATGATATTTTTTTTTAACTAAAATGATTTCATCAAAATTGAAATAATGAAAAAGTACATCTTAAAAAAATAAGAAAAGAAAAAATATAGTTTAAATATAATAATAATTTTAAAATAGAACATGTGTAAAATGAGAAAAATAATCTGTCACAAAAGGCAATCTCATGGAAAGTTTCTGAAATTTTTACAGAGGAGATGTCTCCTCAATTATCATCAATATTATAGAACTAGTTCTATGGTTGTACATCCCCATCATTAGCATGGGGTCCCCTCATGTGAGAGAGATGTAAGCTTGTACAACAATTTACCCTAGTTCTATTGCTTTGTTAGATTATTGAGGATAGGTTTGTGTTCCAATTCTCACGTATGTCGGGGTTACGTTCCCATTTAAGTGTCTTCGATAGTCATCAAGAGAGATTTGGTCATTAAGCTGCAAACTTTTAAAAGTTATTACTTTTTCCATCTTACAAAGATACATTTATTTTTTATTGGCTAATTAACACAAAATATCCATACCTTTAAGATTTATTGTGGAAAACAATCCCACATTTCCTTTTTTTTTTTGGCATTTTTGCCTTTATTTCCGCCTTTCATTGCGGAAAACGTTATTTTCACCATTTTTAATGTAAAATGACTAAAATACCCTCTCATTTAAATTAAACCCAAAAAAAGAAAAGAAAAATAAAGAATAAATTACAATCTCACTCCTAAATGTTTTAAAAACTACAAGTCCAAATAATTATTAAAAGATTTAATAGCACAAAACGTTCTTATGTTTGGTCTATAGTATGAAAAAGGTCCCTACGTTTCAAATTGGTGAAAGAGATGTTTTCCGCAATAAAACGTGAAAATAAGGATGAAAATGCAAAAAAATTGAAATGTATGCACATTTTCCACAAGAAGTGTTAAACGTAGGGATTTTTTTTTTTTTTTGCTATTAGGCCTTATTAAAATATTAAAAATATATATCTCTTCTCTTTTTCTCCAAATGGGACTGCCACATTAAAAGTGAAAAAATTTCGACTAACCATCGCCCAAACCGTCAAACCTCCATACCGCTGAACTATCTGTTGATATTTTAAGACCATGAAGAGAGGTGCCCTTGTGAGTATAGTCGATTGGTGTGTTGGAAATGACATGGATCTCTCCGAAATAGGTGATGCCGCCAGTATTCACATTCGCGAGTTGGGTATTTTAGCTTGCAATTCCTAACAAATCTATTGGCATGAAGGTTTCGAGATTGGATGTTAGGTGGTATGTGTAGAAAGAAGTGAGGGCTTTTCGGTGGTATGGTAGTCCAGCTGTTTGGATGGTGATTTGCTAGAGTTTTTGGCTTTTAAGGTGATTGGCCCATTTGGAGAAGAATAGAAGAGAGAGGGGGAGAGAGAGAGTTTTTGTTATTTTTAAAATTTTAATAAGGGTTAATAGCAAATAATATCCATACGTTTGACACTTCTTGCAAAAAAAGTCCCAACTTTTCAAAAAAAAAAAATTTTCATCACTATTTTCACTTTTAATTGCGGAAAACATCCCTTTTACCAATTTGAAATGTACGGATATTTTTCACACTATAGACCAAACGTAGAAACATTTTGTGCTATTAAGCCTTTTAATAATTATTTGAATTCACTTGCACTTTTTAAAATATTTTGGAGTAAGATTGTAATCTATTTTTTATTTTTCTTTTCTTTATTTTTGGATTTTATTTAAATATGAGGGTATTTTGATCATTTTACATTAAAAAATGGTGAAAAGAATGTTTTCCGCAAAGAAATGTGGAAATAAGGGCAAAAATGTCAAAAATTGAAAGGTGAGAATGTTTTCCACAATAAATCTTAAAGGTATGGGCATTTTGTACCAATTACCCTTTTTTTATTTACTTATCTCCAAATATAGTCCAATTTTTTATTTGATAGTATAATTAGTTTCTTAATTTTTTAGTATGTCCATATTTAGCTCTCATTTGTTTCCCATATTTTTTTAGTAAAAATGCATTTCGAAATAGTTAACTAATGAAGAATGTGTATTTAAAAAAAAAAGAAAAACTTTTAATTTTGCGTGTAATATTATTTTATTGAATAATGTGTGGTTGAAAAGAATAGAGAGAAAAAACATATTTTGAGAAAATGAGCATCAAACAAAGGTTTAATTTCTTTTGTTTTCAACAATTATGAATTATCATCATTCAATTTAGAGGTATATTAGGAAAAACGTAGGTAAAATTTATAATTTCAACTATATTGATTAATTTTTTTTAAAAATTGTATGCAAGTAGAAACAAGTCTATTTTTACAAGAGGGATGAAGTATTTGGGATGGATATTGAAAATAAACTTTAATAAGCAGATGAAATTTAGTGCTAATACGCTGATTGATTCATAAAAATTAAATGTTTTTGTACATAAAACTACTATAGCGGCAACCCTAAACTACAGAGAACTAACATAATAATCTAACTTAAAAATTATAAGTAACTAGATAAAAAGCAAAAAAAAACTAAAATTTAAGAAAAGGGCCTTAATCCAGAATCTTGAATCTCAATTCAATTGGATCTCTCGGCATGGCGGACAAATACGGATTCCAAGTCCGGAGGATTAAAGAAATCTCTACCACCATTAAAATGGCAGGAGGAGGTAGGGCGGCGCTTCCGTGGGGCGGGCGGGCATCGCAGTTTCTCCGCTATCCTCGATTCTCTTCCGGTTGGAGTTGTCGAACGGACGTCTTCATCTTCACATCCCTCTTGAGGTTTTGTCGATATCGATTTCAATGGAGCCCATATAGGTATACCAGAAATCAACCATTTCTTTGATTCTGATTCCGTCCCTCCTTCAACTTGAAGCTTCTTAGAAAAACCCATGCCGAAAATCCAGTTAAAAGTAAACAAATTTTCGACTCAAAATCTTTCTTCGGAAAAGGGTGATCTTGGAAAAACTCCAACTACCTTTTAAACAGAAGGGTACCAAAATAGTCTCATAACCAGGGAAGAAATTAGTCAAGAAAATTGAAGAAATCAACCAAAAGGGTCTTTCTTCTTTCTGAGTAAAATGAATATAGAGAGAGAAAGGGGAAATGGGAATGTGATGGCGGCAAAATGAGAGGAGGAATTGTGGGATAAAGACATTTATATATGAGAGAGAAACAGAGAAGGCGGCGCGGCTGCCCGTGAAAATTTCGGGCAGCTGAATAATTTTTCGACTTTGGCGCCAATTTTTGGACATAACGGCTATATTCCCGCCTTTAATTTGCTTCAGTGTTTAGAATTGTACTTGGGCCGGGTTTACCGTTTAGAGAGCAAGTAGAAAGCTGGGGAGTGGGCGTCAGGGTGTTGAGGCGAAGGCCGGGTGTTGTAGGTTTGGGCTTTGACTATATGGCTCGTAAATTTAGAATAATGTTATCTAATATCACTTATTTTATAACTTCAGTTTAGGCAACGTTATTTGATATGCTTAATAAAAAGTAGAACTAAGTAACCTTTTTAATGATACCTTTCATTTAATGTCATATTAGTATCTTCTAAATCAGTGTTATAACACCATAAGTGTCAAATTACATTATTCTAAATCTATGTGCATGGTCCATGAAATAAGTCCTTGTTTGGGCTCCACTAGAATTAAATTTTGGGAAAAAAATATATTTTGAAATAATGATTTTTTGAAGAATGTGGTTAAAAAACAATAAAAATTTTTAGATTTACTTGTAATATTATTTTATTGAAAAATATAAATGAAAAAAAGAAAGAAAATTATATTAAAATTTTATTGAAACCCAAATAGGAGCGAAATCAAATATGAATTGGAAATATTGGAGCAATAGTATGTTCGCTCCTTGGGCTGCGGTACCCCAACTCGGAAGTGTCTTATCAACTGAAATGTAAGATGACTCAATCCAATACATTTCAAGTCTTACTTTCGTTGGAGGGTTAATTTGACAAACGATCACTAAACTTACCTGAAAATTGCAAAACGGTCACTGAAATTTAAAACTTGCAGAAATGATCACCGATGTTTAGAGCGCTTTCAGAAATAGTTATTGAAATTTACAAACTTGCAGAAACGGTTAAAATATTTGACTCGTTTTTTGGGAAAATATTCAAATTTTTGGGAAGCTGAATTTTTGGGCTTATTTCGGCCAAACCCTTCGAAGTTATGGGGAGATTTTGAGTGATAATTGAAGAAGATATTGTGGACTTTCCAACTGTATCCAAATTCGGCGGTCTTGGTAGTCGGAAGTTGTCCAAAAATTGCCGCAAATCTCGCCAAAAAATTTGGGGTTAATTTTTAGATTTTGAGGAGTTGATTTTGTAGGTTTATTTCGATTGAATCCTTTGGAGTTATGGGGAGATTTTAGGTGGTAATTGAAGAAGATATTGTGGGCTTTCCAACAGTATCCAAATTCGATGGTCTTCTTGGTCGGAGGTTGCAAAAAAATTGCCGCAAATCTCGCCAAAAAATCTCGACTGATTTTTCAAATTTCGAAGAGTTGACTTTGTGGACTTATTTCTGTCGAATCCTTTAGAGGTATAGGGAGATTTTGGATGGTAATTAAAGAGGACATTGTGGATTTTCCAACGGTATCCAAATCCGACGATCTTGGTGTTGGGAAGTTGCCAGAAAATCGTCACAAAACTCGCCCAAAAATGTAGGCAGATTTTTAGATTTCGGAGAGTTGACTTTGTGGACTTGTTTCGGCCAAATTATTTTAAGTTATGGGGAGATTTTGGGTGATAATTGAAGAGGACATTGTGGACTTTCCAACGACGTTCAAATCCGACGGTTTTGGTGATTGAAAGTTGTCGAAGAATTGCAGCAAAACTTGCCCAAAAATCTGAAAAATCTGGACGACCATTTCTGCAAGTTTATAAACTTCAGTGACTGTTTCTGAAAGCGCTTTAAATTTCAGTGACCATTTCTACAAGTTTTAAGCTTCAGTGACGATTTTGTATTTTTCAAGTAAGTTCAGTGATTGTTTGTGAAATTAACCCTTCGTTGGATAAAGATTTTGCTCTTCGAGTAAATTTTTTTGGACTCATGATATTTGAAATAAAATATTAATTTATTTTAGTAAATTATTTGTATTAATTTGAGCTTGCATTTTGTTTATGGATTGATTCGATATTATAAATCGAGTATTTATATTGTTTAGCATGAAAATATTCGATTTATAATTCGATCATAATTTTATTTCCCACAATTGATAAATAAAATGAACATTTTCTTAAATAAGATTGTTTCAATTTTATTAAAATTGATTTAACTTTGGTAATAAAATTGAGTTTATATTTTAGAATGGATTGTATTGAATCATGTGAAATTTAATGGGATACAAACAGAAATATTCTTAATTTTGGGGTGTTTTTGAAAAATCATTATAATTATGGACTAAACATAAATAATATAATTTCATCACCAATTTAACCGTAAGAAAATACGGTAAAACGTTCGATTGAGTGTGAGGGCTCCAAAATACCGAAATCTTAAGCAAAATCTAAATCGTAAGAGCAAATCTTGCAAAAGTAAGCCTAGACAAAATCAAAGATTGCTTGTGCTACTTTTTTCTTCAAAGTTTTTTTCTCCAAATCTGCAACTAATCAACCAAAAATTACAGGCTTTTATGTTTAGGATTTTTTATTCAATTAGTTCATATTTTGTTTAATATTATTGATGTTGTTGAGTTTTTTTTTTTTTTTTCTAGTGCATATAAAATTTTATCTTTAGATTAATAATTTTGAGTTAGTATATATTAAAATTCAGAATGGTACAAATTGGATTGAGTTAATATATATCAAAAATCAACTTCAGATCAACTCAAGTGATACATACAAGGTGTTTGTGAAAATTAGAATGCGACATTTCTTGTCATTGTTATCTAAAAAATGTCACAATCTATTTTAATTCCTTTGGAGCAATTAAATAGATGCATTCATGAACATTTTTGAAAATTCAAATATGAATACGAATTAAAGCCTTGTTTTACATTAATAAGTAACATAATGTAATGAATTGAATCCAGTTAATATATATGAAAAATCAACTTCAGATCAATTCAACTGATACATGTAAGGTGTTTGTAAAAATGAGAGTAAGAAAAGTGACATTCTCTGTCACTTTTTCTAAAAGGTCGCATTCTATCTCATTTGAATTTTCTAGAATCAATTAAAGAGAGAGCCCTGCCACAATGGCCCTATACTTGTATCTTTATCCTTAGAGAGATGCATATATGCATATTGATGAAAAATTAATATGAATATGAAATCAGACATTGCTTTACTTTAAAAAATGATATGAGATAATACTTCATTTGTATTTTTGTATATGAGTAAGTTTTCTAAAACATACTTTATCACTTAAAAAAAAAAAAGTCTCACACTATTTCACTTGTAATTATTATTATTATTATTATTTTTAGATATGAATAAAATAACATCTTCATTTTTTACGGAAGTAAATGGTAAGAAGATAACAAATATTAAAGTACAAAATGATTGAAATTGTTGTCCCAATATAATGCACAAACAACCACATTTGTCAAAAAATAATTGTTACTTTTTTTAAAAAGGTAAAAAGTGACAAATATTCAAAAAAGTGAAAGTAACTCAAAAATGACAAAATTAATTTTGACGTAATTAATGTGAAAATTTGTATTTTTAATCAATTTTAAGAGTATTCATCTAATATTTTATTTTTAAAGATTTTGAATCATGGGTACAGGACCCTTTACATGTAAGACCTATTGCTCATGCAATTTGGGATCCTCATTTTGGTCAACCGGCTGTGGAAGCTTTTACTCGAGGGGGTGCTCTTGGCCCAGTGAATATCGCTTATTCTGGTGTTTAGTAGTGGTGCACCTAATTTAATTTATGGAATTGACCACATGAATTTAATTTCACTCGACAGTTGTACGAATAATGGACTTTGATTACTAAATGACATTTTTTGAGATATCAATGAGTGAGATCAAATTCTTGATCAATATCTAGATGCCTTGAGAATTATAGTGAAATAATTAGAGAACATATATTCGTGATATGAAATCCGTAACCTATTTAATATGCACAATCATGACCTCAAGGGTTATCCTAGTCGACGGTTAAATTTGAGATTAGTAATTCGCACCTAATTTAATTTATGGAATTGACCACATGAATTTAATTTCACTCGACAGTTGTACGAATAATGGACTTTGATTACTAAATGACATTTTTTGAGATATCAATGAGTGAGATCAAATTCTTGATCAATATCCAGATGCCTTGAGAATTATAGTGAAATAATTAGAGAACATATATTCGTGATATGAAATCCGTAACCTATTTAATATGCACAATCATGACCTCAAGGGTTATCCTAGTCGACGGTTAAATTTGAGATTAGTAATTCGACATTCATCGTTGAATTAATATTGTGATGTGATCACCTAGGACAATCAGATTCGACATGATCAATAGAGGTAATATATAAGAATAGAGGATATAATAATTATTTATATATATAGTTTCAATAATTTCAATCAGACTAAGAGTACAATCTCATTCTTTTAATAGAATAGAACGTGATTAATAAATTAGCTCGACAGATCAAGAGTTGATCGGGTCAAGATTAGTTTATTGAAGCTTAGTTTAATTAGGTCCATTTATTCTCTTTTGTGGCTTTAAAATAAGAACCGGACTAAATTACAAGATTTACATTTTATTATTAAGTATAGAGGATAAATTAATAAAACTGAGACGTGTCATACATGTGCCACACATGTGTTATTGATATATGGAAGACTTTGATTTGGATTAGAATTAAACTAAGAGTCCTTTTAGATTGATATATTTATCCAAGAAAAAGAAAAAGGTTCTTTAGGAATTGTGAAACTTTCTATCTGAGTCAAGTCCATATTATAATATGACATTTGATTTGTGGTTTAGTTAACATATATTTTATCAATTCTTGTGCCCACACCCATATAGACCCTATTGGTAGGGATTAAAATCTCAAAATAGATAAATTAATAAAACTGAGACGTGTCATACATGTGCCGCACGTGTTATTGATATATGGAAGACTTTGATTTGGATTAGAATTAAACTAAGAGTCCTTTTAGAT